CTCTCCGCCGAATGCACAGCCTCTCCTCCGGACAGTCTTTCAGTTCCGACCTTCCCGGCACCAGCCTGTCCTCCGCCGCTGCCTCCACCTCTTCCTCCTCATCCTCCGCCACCGCACCTGCTCCTGCTTGCCATGTCCACCCTGTCTGTTACCATCACGCCACCTCCTCTTATTTCCTTCAGATGGACTCCATCCCCGATCTGCCCCCTCCTGATGTCACCTCCGGAGTTCGCGGTCGCACTGAGAGCTTTGGGTATATTTTGCCGTTTCTTTTCTAGCTCCCTCTCGCCTGCTGCGTCTCAGGGCTGACGCTTGCCCGGGTGCTCTTTCTCCTCGATTCCTTGCGCCCTTTCCTTTAGGATTTATCCCCATGTTTGGTTCTTCACCCCTTCTCCCATGCCAGCAGACACTCCAGAGAGTGCTGCATGGTCCATCCCCGTATCTGCAAGCTCAGGGGGTGCCGCTCGCTAATGGCAGCCAAGCTAATGAGAACTCCTGGATGCTTGGTTGCTGCTGAAGAAGTCAGTCTTTCACTTGGGCATCACAGCTGTGAGAACAAAGGTAGCTCAGCTGATCAGACGAACACTGACCTTGTCTGAAGCCTTGGCTTCCTTGGGGTCTTCACCAGCGCATGGCGAAGGCAGCACGAAGGGTGGATGCGGCGGGACAGCGGCTGGGGCTGCCCGGGGGGGGAGGTTCCTGCTGGTTTGAGAGGTGGCCAAGAAGCAGTGTTTGGAAATGTTGGGTTCCAGAGCGGCTCTGCCTCTGCTCCGGCCCGGGACGGGGCGTGAGGGTGTGCTCTGGCCTTTTTTTTTGAAAGAGGAGGGCGCTGATGGCCGGATCGGTGGCCTGAGCTCGGTCCCTTTCCTACTAACAGCCAGCGAGCGGTGGCCTTGTGGAGCCCTCTGGTAGGATCTGAGGGACTGGTGACCACCCGCATCCCGGAGTCCCTGCCCTCTCCCGATCCACCATGCTGGCATCAAGCAAAGAACCGGGTGGCCCAGAGGAGCAGGAACCCCGTCTCATCTGACTGGGTGCTGCGAGGGGCCCTGCGCTGAGCTCGGGGAGGTTCTGTAGCCCAAGCAGAGGATCGGGCCCCGTGGGCAACCCCGGGTGGCTTTGCTGCAGACCAGATCCATGGGTGCAGCCGTTGGAGGTCCTCGCCCCACCACGGCCACG